ACGGTTTTGGCTCAGAAAGTGAGTGAGTGCTCCTATATTCCTTAATGATCCTATAAACACTGGACCGACATACTCCAGAAATATGTGCTACCTTACATATAACTTCGTCCACGACCAAATCGGGTTTTTCTTGAATTTGGTTTTTGTATATATTTAATATTATTTGTTTTTCATTTGCACTTAAATGTAGCTTCTTAGCCCTTTTTTTGGGTGGGGTTGCGCTGATGTCAACCACTTCGTCGGCTGTATCTGTGTCAGACATCGTATCTTAGGCAATATATAAACAAAACGTTCCACTCGCGAAAAACGAGTATACGCTACTGAATGCGTAATGCGTATGCAATGCAATCCTGTGCGTGAATTAACTGTTAGATGCCTGTCGTGTCATCTACAATCACGTTTACAAGTTCAAACCTGTGCAGATTCGTAGAGCGCCGACGACTGCTAGTGACCTTGAATTTGTCTGTAGATCGATGTTACTCCAGTCAATTTAGGTTCAAAGTGGATGTTTTCTAAACCAATTTGTTGTTCCTACATCAAAAATATATCGATGATGTTTTGTACTGGGAGCTCATGAAAGATCAAGGTAACTTATTTTAACAGTCATCCTTTTTCTAGTCTCAGGATGACACGAAAAAGGGTCTGTGGATTCACTAGAAATACACTGCCGAGGATGTTTAGACCTAAAGTGACTGGAGTATATCCGTGGATGCTTTCGAGGGATCTGTTCACGTGCTGATCACTGTTTACGTTTAATGTCTTTCTTCAGCGCCCAGAGTTTAGGTTGACTGTCTATTTTCAGGAGACGTGATAAGGGAGACCGGGTATGATTGACTGGTTCTTTACAACATCATACATATTTTTTGTGCTTTTATACAGACAATAAAACTGCATCAATGGATAGAAGAACTACTGAACTTATAAAAAAATATAAAAACTAGTCCATTATTCAATCTAATGATCATAATTTAACGCAAGAGAACACCAATTCTTAGTCAATTTATCCCGGCTCCGGGGTAGCTTGACTATATGCCCGGGATAAGTAGACTTACGTATCAATAAGTGACAAATTATGAGAAGAGTCAAGCTATGAAACTTTTTTTATAATTTAACAAAACTTTTTATTCAAAAACAATTTTAACGAGTTACATACATTATCTTACAATAAGTCTTTAACAAAACTATCAACTCCTAGTTTTTATTTAAACATTTATTAGTTTCATTAATTAAAAACTTCTGGAAAGCTATTCAAAAAAACTTCGAAGACAATAATAGAAGAATACTTCTGGAATGGCAATGTTTGACAGTATATCAAAATAACGACATTTCTCAGTGTAGAAAATGCTACCGTTTTAATCATACAGAAAAGAATTGCAGGAATGAGAAGATATGTGCCAACTGTGGCAACGGTCACGAAGAAGAAAATTGTAAGCATGTATCAATAGAATGCTGCAACTGTAGATATGGAAATGAAAGATATAAAAAAAATTATAATATTAACCACTCACCTATCGACAAAAACTGTCCATCGTACAAATATTATCAGGAACAACAAAACTTAAGGATATTTTTTTAAAATTCAAGTTCATCTTTTACTACTCCTATCTCTAAAGAGGACGTAAAAATGTCAGTAAATAAATACATTAATGATTTCCAAATTTAAAGTATTGCAACAAATATAGCACAAAACGTCGATGAACTTAATTTATGTACACAAAATTCTGATGCAAAATTTCGAATTTTTAATATGAACATAGGGAGTATAAAACACAACATTGATTACTTAAAAATACTACTCGACCAAATATGGTACAATTTTGATCTAATAGTTTTAACTGAAACGTGGCAAGTGGCTGATATTTCTTGCTTCAATCAGCAGCGATATGACACGCTGTATAACTTTGGCACTTATAACCAAAACGATGGGGTGATAGTTTTTGTAAGAAATAAACTGCAATATAATCATGATACATTCACTTTCACCGATGGAATCAAAATTTTAAACATAATGATCCAAATTAACCATAACAAAATTGAGGTATCTGCAATTTATCGTCCGCCATATTCAGAACCCCACGAGTTTTTAAAGAATATCGAAATTTTTTTTCAAAATCAAAATAAAGTTCATTTAAAGCAACATATTTTCTTGGGAGATGTCAATATAAATATTTTGGACGATGATCCCATCACAAATGAATACTTGAATATCCTATCAAGTAAAGGATTTCTGTCCTATATAAACCTACCTACAAGGTCCATCAGTGGCACATGTATAGATCACTGCTTTGTGAAAGACCTATCCAACAAAATTACTTGTATACCAATAATCCTAGAAAGCGATATTACTCACCACTTCTCCACTATTTTACTGATATCTTCAAATGAAAAACATTCTAGCATCCCTACCGTTAGTAACAACCAGGAAAATTACAAATCTTTTGTCGACAATTCAAAACTAATATCTAATGTCAAACAAGAATCCTGGGAACAATTATACTCTATAAATAATATAGACAAAGCAACAGGACTGTTCATAGAGAAAATAAAAAAACTAATAGATATTAGTACCAATAAAGTAATAATTAGTCACAAAGAGAAAAGCGGAAATGCCTGGATTACTAAAGGATTAATAACATCGGCAATAGAAAAAGAAAGACTATATAATGTAATGAAACTAACGCCAACTACAGAGAATACCGACTGCTACAACCAATATAAAAATAAATTCATAGAGCTTGTAAGGCAAACCAAACGAAAACATTACCTAAATAAATTGAATAATAACTTAAATGATCCTAAGCGGCTTTGGACAACTATTGATGAGATTACTGGGAAAACAAAAGTTAAAGAGTGTGTCACTGAGTTAAATTCAACATCGGGAACAGTATTAAAAAATACTCAACAGATATGCGATGAATTTGTACAATTCTTTACTGACATAGGCGAAAATTTAGCAAGTAATATACAAGCAAATGTACAAAATACTCAGCCTCCAAAAAGAACTTTGAACTCATTTATTTTGGATAAAGTCGAGCAATGTGAAGTATACACCACTGTTATGTCCTTAAAAAATCGGAAAAGTCCTGGGTTCGATGGTATTAAAAGCGAGCATTTGAAAATTATAGCCGAGGACATAACAGAACCACTCACTTACCTAATCAACAAATGCTTTGAATCTGGCATATATCCCTCAATTTAAAAAAAAGGTAATATAATACCGATACATAAATCAGGAACAAAAACAGATGTTAACAACTATAGACCAATATCAATAATATCCAGTGTAGCAAAGGTTTTTGAAAAAGTTTTATCTACTAGAATGATTCGATACCTCACAAAATTCAAAATTTTAAGTGAAAATCAATATGGATTTACAGAAGGGAAGGCTACATCAGACGCAATAACTAAAATTGTTAATCAAATACATCAAAATATTGATAACAGAATCACTTCAATCTGCATTTTTGTTGATTTAAAGAAAGCTTTCGACACAGTTAATCACAAATTATTATTAGAAGCATTGGAGAGAATTGGTTTCAGAGGAAACGCGTACTCACTGATCGAAAGTTATTTGCCAAATCGCCCACAATCTGTGCAGGATCATTTAATAAAGAAATGTATATTAAGTGTGGTGACCCACAAGGAACTATCTTAGGTCCGCTGTTATTCAATATATATTTAAATGATATTTTCCAAATTAATTGTGTTGGCAAAATAACTAGTTTTGCAGATGATACTGCAATATTATATGAAGGCACTGACTGGTCTGATCTGAAAAATGTAATTGAAAATGATTTTATCAAAATTATTCGGTGGTTTAACAGTAGAAAATTAAGCATTAACTACTCTAAAACACATTTTTTACCATTTGGATCTTATGCTAGACTTCTGCCAAATTACACAAATTTCTCCTTCAATATTAATGATCAAAAAATGCAAATTAATAGAGTGCCCAACATAAAATACCTTGGAGTGGTCTTGGATCCTCACTTACGATGGGACATCCATGTCAATTATATTTTAAAGAAAGTTAGATTTGTATCCTACAAAATTAAATACCTTGGGAATATATTGACAGAAAATCTTCGAACATTATACCATGCACTGATTGAGCCCCATCTCACATATGGTATATTAGCATGGGGAGCTGCATGTTCCTCACATATCTATAATTTAGATGTTTTTCAAAAAAGTATTCTAAAAATGATATTTAAAAAACCGAAACTTTATCCCACTGAAAAATTATACGCAGATGTTCGAATGTATGATATAAGACAGCTTTATTTCTTACACAGTATCACTCACTACCATAAATTTGTAAACACCGACCAAAAAATTAAACATAATCATTATACCAGGTACAAAATTCGTGGCACAGTAGTTCCTCAACCGCATAAATCTATAATGCAGCGATCATATCTCTATTTAGCGCCTAAATTTTATGAAATTATACCTAAAGACTTAAAAGATTTACGTTTCGGAAATTGTTTCAAAAGAAATTTAAAAAAGTGGCTACATTCTATATCTAGGACTCAAATTCATAAACTCATATATACGAACATCAACTAAATACATAATCTACTGTAGCTAATTTTTGTCCTTTTTTGTGATTTGCATTCTACAGTTTCAACTTAAATTATTGGTCCAGGTACACGCGATGCCTTCTATTGGGCCTGGTTTGATTTTATATTTATTTACTCAAATTGTTTGCTATCTTTGTACATTGAGTGAATAAATATTATTATTATTATTATTATTCAATCTAATGATCATAATTTAATGCAAGAGAACACCAATTCTTAGTCAATTTATCCCGGCTCCGGGGTAGATTGACTATATGCCCGGGATAAGTAGACTTACGTATCAATAAGTGACAAATTATGAGAAGAGTCAAGTTATGAAACTTTTTTTATAATTTAACAAAACTTTTTATTCAAAAACAATATTAATGAGTTACATACATTATCTTACAATAAGTCTTTAACAAAACTATCAACTCCTAGTTTTTATTTAAACATTTATTAGTTTCGTTAATTAAACAGTTCCTTTATACTCGTATCTTATAATATAAGCCTTCAATATCAGAAGCGCAATGTTTGCATTAAAAAAACATTAGATCACCTCTTACACATTTGGAATGAGACCATAACAAGTTATGCACTGAATCTATTGTTGGAACACTATCGACGTATGAATCAGTGCACTATAAACAAATCGTACTCTCGTCATCTGAATCTACAGCATTACCGTCATTTTCATCGACGGTGTCATCAGCAATCTTATCAACTTATCCGTTCCTTTTTCTTTACCCTTTCCTTTGCCCTTCCCTTTTCCTTTTTCTATTCTGTCCTTAGTATCTGTTTTTTTCTTCTTATATGTTCTCTTTTGTTTTTCATATCTAAAAGATTTAGTTTTTCCGGGGTGTCGGTATATATGATGGGTGATTTTTTTGCTAGTATCTTTTTGGCAATACTGTTTTTGACAGATGACGCGTGAATCGTGTCTTGTGTCACCGTCAAACTTGTTCAGTTTGGTCTATAATTTAACCATGAATCGACTTACGAACGAACAACGCTTGCAAATTATTGAATTTTACTATCAAAATTCATGCTCGGTTAAGAGAGTGCATTCGCCGCCGTTCGCAGCAATTGGGCCTCTGTTACTCCACTACGTGGAAAATTTGGCGACAGAATTTGGGTATAAAACCTTATAAGATACAGCTGGTGCAAGTATTGAAGCCACACGACCTCCCACAACGTTTCCAATTTGGTGAATGGGCGCTGGCAAAGTTGGAGGTAGATCCACAGTTTTATCGAAAAATTGTGTCTAGCGACGAAGCTCATTTCTGGTTGAATGGGTACGTTAACAGGCAAAATTGGCGCATCTGGAGTGAAGATCAGCCAGAAGCATTGCAAGAGCTACCAATGCATCCCGAAAAAATCACTGTTTGGTGTGGATTATGGCCCGGTGGCATCATCGGGCCGTACTTCTTCAAAGACGACAATGGCCGGAACGTAACTGTGAATGGCGAGCGCTACCGTGCGATGATAAACTTTTTTTGCTCAAAATGGAAGATCTGGACTTGGCTGACATGTGGTTTCAACAAGACGGTGCCACATGCCACACCGCACACGAAACAATGGCCCTATTGAGAGGCGAGTTCGGTGAACAGTTTATCTCACGTTTGGGGCCCGTCAATTGGCCGCCTAGATCGTGTGATTTAACGCCGTTGGACTATTTCTTGTGGGGCCATGTTAAGGCTAATATCTACAGGGATAAACCAGCAACGATTGACGCACTGGAAGCCAATATTGAAGCATTTATTCGTGAGATACCGGCCGATATGTTGGAGAGAGTGTGCCAAAATTGGACCTTGCGCATGGGCCATCTAAAGCGGAGCCGCGGCCAACATTCACATGAAATAATCTTTAAGCATTAAATGATGTCGACCGTTCTATCGACTCAAATAAAGATTTAATTGTTTTTTTTCAAATTAATTGTGTTTTTTTGAAAATCAAATCCTATACCTCTTAAAAAATCACCCGTTAGTACTGGCGCCGCTTTTGGAAAGGGTCTTAGCTCTTCAAATATTGCTGATGAAGTTGAGGAAAGGTTTACATTGTGTAAAGATGGGGGCACATTTGTTTCTGTAGAATGAACGTGTTCTGGTATTTTGTGGTTTTCTCTCAGTTCCGGTTCAAATACAGAATTGAATGTTTCGTCAAAAATAGAACGTGACTCACATTGAGTCCTCAAAGATCTTGTAGGAGAGGGTGTTGTGGTAGTAATCTGGTCTGTATTTACAGATAAACATTGCGGTGCCAGAAAGTGAGTTTCAGTTATTGTATGGTGATCAGGAATTGGAACCTCATCGACGATAGACAACCTTTTAGATGCATCGGAAGTCGATGGAACAGACACTGTGCTCCTATCACATGCTGAAGGATCATCACCGTCACATAAGAACCACTAAACTTGGAGTCAAGAAAAACGTTTTCATTCAATGGTGAAGTCCCGGATACTCCGAATCCTGATTGTATATTTTCAATTGTAGCAGCAAATAGTAGTGAAATTTTAACCAGCTCCGGTATTTCATAAATTGTGATTTCCGGGATTACTAGCCAGCCAGTTGTCACATGCTCGGTTGAAATACTTTTTCAATGGTCCGTACACAGATCTGTCAAAAGGTTGTAGCTTGTGGCTACAATGTGGAGGGAATGATAAAACTGTCAACCCATTAGTTTTAAAGTAATCCAACGCTTCAATTGATAAGTGTCATGGTTATCCAACAACAAACGTACAGGTTTTTCTTTACTAGGTTTAACATGTTTCACGAAATGTTTACCGTACTTCATAAAGTTCTCTTCTTTCATCGAGCCAGCCAGATTACCATCACCTTCACATCCTATAGGGCCTCCTCTAACAAAATGGGACTTATAATAAACGCGTGGGAATACCAAAAATGGTAGAACTATACAGGGTGACTTCGAAGTTGAGTCATTTATTTTAACAGTGAGTAGATCTGATCAAAAGAAATGTTTTTTCCTTTACCATTTTTCTGGTAAAATTAAAGTAACAAAGTTATAGCCCTTTGGAAGTTTGAGTACCGCCCTGTCTCAATAATAATATCATGTGCTCGTGTTTGGCAACAACGGATATAATCCGCCTTATCGGTTCATCGCATCGGAAACAAAAAAGCGAAAGAATTTGGAACGATGTTTTTACAATTATCAGTTGTATACAGTCAGTGTCAGTCGGTAACGCGTGAGTGAATAGTGGTGTTGCGTGGCTCAAACGAAATAAAAAATGGCACATGTTTATGCGGATCGGTTTCCCAATCGAGTGCAACCAACCCCTCGTGCCTTTGTTAATGTAGTACAACGGGCTCGTGAATCAGGTGACTTAAGACCTCACAGGGGACCTCACGATCAAATACAGGTCCGCACTGAAATACTTGTCGGGAGGATACTTTATAAAACAAGGTAAAAAAATTTTTTTAATTTTTTTTTTTATTTTTACACACATATTCTGGTTTATCTTCCTTCTACAATCATTATCTGAAAATTAATGACTCAACTTCAAAGTCACCCTGTATATTCTACAGCTGCAACAGCTACTGCAACTGTCACCTCTCAGCAGATGTCATCTTGCCTAGATTTTTAACACCACGTCGTGCGATTACTCTATTAGGTACTTGAACGGTTGTCATACCTGTTTCATCAACGTTCCAGATATCACCAGGGCTTAAATTCAAACGTTGGTAAACAGCAGTTAAATTACCGAAGAACATACTGACGTTATGTTTGTTGAATGATGTAGCTCTTGAGAGGCTTGTTGCTTGAGGTGTTCTTATGGATAAAGAATAGGTAACATAAACCTGTGTCTTCAATATACCTACTATCAGTCAAAAGCAGTACATAGCGCAGCAGCGCCACTGTTTTCTTATTTTCCCGTATTTCATATGGAGACTCTGATAGTAGCACAGGCAAGAAACCCCTGTTCCTCAACCATGAAGACTAGAGATATAGGAGGTTAACGTTCACAAGGAAAGACGCGTTAGAACTACATACTGGCGATAAGGAGGCCATGACTGTAGTGACATGTAGTGCGCGCGGAAGAGAGAGAGAGAGAGATGCAGACGTTAGAAAGATGCCACATGCGCAGAATCTGAAATGCATTTCTGATGCAATAGTTACCCATATCCTGCCTCCATTCTAGAAACTTTTGGCTTCCCCCCTCCTTCTAAAAGTCTATACCTAGTCTGCATGCCCTCAATTTAAATGGTTTTATTTTAATAAAAGTTGGTGAATGTATTTATCTTACTGTAAATAACAAGTGAAAACATTTTCAGCCTTATCAGTTGGACATTCCGGTTTTTATACTGCTTTTTTTAATTCACTAACGCTCTAAAAATGAATATTTCAGCCGCAGTAAAGAATCAACGTTGGTGGATTTTGGTTCTTGACATCCTTTATGACCGGTTACGATGCCTAGAGTACGGAGACCTGTACGATTTCGTCAACTTAGTGAGTTTGATAAAGGCCGTATAGTGGGACTTCGGGAAGCTGGACTTTTCGGGCAATTGCAGTTAGAGTGCAAAGAAGTGTAGACACTGTAGTTAGGTGTTGTCAGACATGGCTTCGAGAAGGCCGTACGCAAAGAGCAAGGGGCACTGGACGCCGCCGTAGAACAACAGACCATGAAGATCGCCGCTTAAGATAATTGGCCTTAAGGGACCGTTTCTCCACTACCAGGTCCATTGCAAATGAATGGTTTGCAGAACACGGAAGACCTATTGGCATGCGAAGTGTTTACCGACGAATGAGAAGTTTTGGCTTGTTTTCATACCGGTCACACTGGGTCCTCCCTTTAACTCGAGAAGACCGACGTAATCGCCTTGAGTGGTGCAGACAACGGTCACTCTGCGATCAGGAATGGAACAGTATTGTCTTTAGTGACGAGTCTCGATTTTGTTTAGGCATGCACGATGGTCGTGCCAGGGTTAGAAGGCGACGTGGTGAAAGGAGGAATCCACAGTTTTTTGTTGAAAGACATGTTCATCACACTGTTGGAGTTATGGTTTGGGGTGCTATAGCTTATGGTTCCAGGTCACCTTTAATCTTCATCAGAGGTAACATGAACGCGCAGTGTTATATCCACGAAGTTCTAGAACCCCATCTTTTACCCTATCTTGACACCCTGGCAGATCCAACTTTCCAACAAGATAATGCCCGACCACATGTTGCAAGAGTCACAATAGACTTCTTTCAACATAATGATGTCACATTGTTACCATGGCCACCAAGATCTCCCGACTTATCCCCAATTGAGCACGTGTGGGATAAGATGGGTAGGAGATTGCTCAATTTGCAACGTCCTCCTCAGACTCTAGAAGCACTTCGAGAGGAGTTGGTGGTTGCCTGGAATGAGATACCACAGGAGGACATTGACTACCTGAACAGAAGCATGCCTAGGCGCGTTGGAGAATGCGTAGCACATCAGGGTGCATCCACACATTATTAAAGGTCAAAGGGCTTCAAAGCAGTGTAGTCATTTTGAAAATTTTACCATTTACTTATTATGCTTCATTAAGTACTTACTCAATTTTTTTTTAAAATAAAACCATTTAAACTGGGTGTTTGGATTTATATGTCACTTAGTATAGTAGGTAAGATAGTCTAATTTTGCGATATAACATATATGCTTTAATGTGATATACCATATTTCTCGTACATCACAACAAAAATCCTCATTTTTGTCAGAGCGCCTGTCATCCCTCAGGTAATCTTTGAGACGTGTATATGATGAGAATATACCATTCGGATTCTAATAGACCTTTGACACAAGGACGAAAAAGGTTTATATTTTTGAAAATTGGAATAGACACTTCGAATTTAGATGAAATTTGAAATCATTTAAAAAATACTGAAAAAGCTAAATGGGATGCATAACATTGATCTGACCTTTTAATTATATCATGAGTTGTTATTTTTTCTGCGAAACAATGTTAATTTCAGAGTATAAGTATATACAGGGTGGCGCATCGAAAACGAAACAGACGCATTTACTGGCAGCTCAGGTTTTTTTTGGAAAAACGCTCAGACCCGTCGATTTTGTTTTCGAGGGGGACACAAGTGTGGCAAAAATCACGTTAGCACGTGCAGCCTCCTGGGCGGGGGTGACACCAACCCTAAAATCTTAAATGGAAAGGGGGGTCGAGTGATACCTTATTTTAAAGGTCTTTCAATTCCCTTTATAATGATGTAAAATAAATTACCTGCCTAACGGGTCAGTTCATTCTTCAGTTTTAAATTACTTTGCTGCCAAATGTATTGATCTCCACTAATTATGAATTATCAGTTTTATTGAGGCTTTAAATCAATAAATGTTCAAAACTACTGAACTGAAGTACATTAATTTTATATCATTATAAAGGGAATTAAAAGACCTTTAAAATAAGGTATCACTCGACCCCCCTTTCCATTTAAGATTTTGGGGGTGGTGTCACCCCCGCTTAGGGGGCTGCACGTGCTAACGTGATGTTCTGCCAAGCTTGTGTCCCCCTCGAAAACAAAATCGACGGGACTGAGCGTTTTTGTAAAAAAAAACTGAGCTGCCAGTAAATGCGTCTGTTTCGTTTTCGATGCGCCACCCTGTATATAAAATACAAGTAGGTAAGTGAAAAAAACTGAATCTGTCCCTGGAGTTTCGAAAAGATCTTTAGTTCAATTTCAAGCGTTATTTTGCAAAATGTTGATGAAAAAAAGTTGATAGCCCTTGAAATTGAATGAAAAAAAATATGTTTTATTGGTTTGTTGTACATAGTCAAATATTTCAATATTCAACTTTTTTCCAGTTGTTCGTCTAGTTACACTTTAATGCTGGGTAACTTTGTTATTCTGAAAGGTTTCAACAAAATCGGTTCATTGATGCGTGGGATTGTGATGTTAAAGATTTGGTGTGCTTAGATCAATCACCCTGTATATCTATAAAACTGAATTAAGAATTTGTTTATGTTTAGAGACGGAAGTGTACTGTAATCGCTCATTGTATATTGTCTCGCCTATTGGAAGTACATTAATCAAAAATGACAAAAACTCGCAATGGTTGTATATAGAATGATAATTCTTGAAAAGTGAACAGTTTAATCAAGTTGAACTTACATTTCTAGCAATTTCAGTTTGTTGGATTGTCCACTTAATCAACCAAACGTGAGAATAGATAATTATAAGGTGCATATATTTAAGCTAGAGAAATACTGCAATATTGAAGTCTACCAGTGGGAAGTGTGACGTTTATAGACTTTTGTTTGATGTATTTTTATATTTCGTATTTGTATGTATGGAATTTCAACCTCCGAAACGAAGCGGTATTTCGACAATCACAGAAGACAAACTACGAGTAGTCTCAGAGTAGTAAGAGAATCAACCCCGAATTGTTGACCCAGGTTTTAGAAACATCCTATATTATACCTGGTCAGCTAATACCAATTCAAATGGCACAAAATGAGTAGCCAGCGAAGTCGTTTACCATTGAAACAGAT